AATAATAATAATAATAATAATAATAATAACCTAAAATAGCGAGGAATAGGTATTTAGAGAAGTGCTATTTTTTAATAGGAGAAATACACACTTACCATCTAAAACGGGGAGCTGATAGAAGAAGGGTCTTCTATTTTTGTAGCAACCTCCTCCCAGTCATGTGACTCAGACTCACACTTGGAGCAACGACAGGTAAAGAGATAATGTTCATACAACTGTTGCTGACGATCAGGGTATGGTAATGATTCGTCAATGTAGCTGATAAGCAACTCTTCTCCAGGTTCAATGTCTCGAAGTGCTTCCACTGTTAAAGTTTCATCATTAACAGAACTGTAGAGAACCTGTAGATTGGGATCACATGAGTGGTTAAAAAGACACCCAATAGTGTATATACCCTGTCCCCGTGAACTGTAGTGTAATTGCTGTGGATCAACACCAGCTTCCTGTACCTGTTCCTCAAAGGCATTCATAGAGGTTAATCCTCCCGGCATGCCCCGCACAATTTCTTTCAAATAATCATAGTTTGATGGCGGACTGCGCTCTTGCCCATTTAGTAGAACTGCCCCAAGCAATTCAGACCACACTGATGGCGTGAAATATCGTCGTTCCTCCCCTGTGAATTGTAGAACCTTGTCTACCAGTTCAATTCCAATTGAGAGGAAATCTTCCGTCACGTTATCAACTTCGCTTGACACAGGTTGGGCACGTAGTTTTTTAAATAGTTCCCAACGCTTACGTAATTGCACCTCTTCGTCCCTACTATCCGTAGAGTCATCAGATAAAAGGTATGAAAAACGAAACATCGACAATGGTGCTTTAATTAGTTGAGAAACTGACCTGTGAGCAATTTCTAGTGGTTTTTTATGTAAACGAATATTAGTTATAATCATACAAAGAAATCGAAAAGCAAGGAAAACGGTGTCGCTGTAGTTAACACCTTTGTGTTCCCAGTTATAGTGAATAAATATATCATACGCACTTTTTTGTACTTCTGTCATTCTACCTTGACATCCAGCAAAGTGAAATCGCGACCAGGCAGCTTCTCGACACCGTACTGAACAAAACACCATTGTGCAACCTTCTTCAGCAAACATACAATTGACTGAACGAGATTGAACATCTAATTTGGCATATGGAAGCTTTGACACCAACGCTTTCTTCCTAGTTACTCGAGCTACACAGCGCCGTGAGCTTTCCAATGATAAAAGGCAATTACCACAAACAGGTATTGGATCTAGCACATCATCCAAGTTCTGTGAGCAACACAACGCTGTTTCCTCATGCACAATATCCCCTTCGCATATTTTTCGCCGAGAGAAGAGTCCTTTTCCCTTCACCGGGTCCGTCTTGATACAATAGCTTGCTCCCTCAATTAACGTCCGATAGTACGATTCATCATAGCTCCAGACAGGTGTAAAAGAATTCGTCTTGACGGACAGTAAAAATAATTAGCAACAAAAAAAAAACTGTGAAAGAAAGAGAAAAATCAATAAGAAAGGAGGGATCACAAAAGGAAACAAGCAAGAAAAAAAAAAAAATGCAAGGAGAAGTATGAAAAACATCTCCGAGGGTTTTCTGGCATTATCACCATTACGATTAGTCCACAAAGGAAACAAAGGAAGAAACCAACAGCAAAGAAAAAACAAAACAAAACAAAACAAAACAAGAAAACTCTTTATTCCAACAACGCTGCCAGATTGTAATCCGATACCAAGAAATGATTATGATCTCTCAACAAGTAGTGCTGGCATCCCATCTCTTTTAGGCGACTGGCGATGCGATCGAAACTAAGCAATTCTTCCGTATTACGAAAGTTGTAGTGTGCAGAATAACCACTACGTTCATCCTCACCTTCGCTATAAAAGAGATCATTACTAAAGGTCACATTACTTGCGCTTTCACTAACTAGACGATCCCATGGTACTTCACTCGTAAAAAGCAGTTTTACATTGTACTGATATAATTCATCAACAAGAATGATGAATTGTTGTGCAGCGTTTTTGCTTACTAGACTAATCTGTGGAACATTGGTAATGATAACAATGTGAAAGGATTTGGCTATACACTGGAAGTCGGGTGGCCCCAGAGGGCCGCAAATGTCTGAGAAGTCAAATAATGCAACACTGCCTCGGCGGAACGGCACCAACAGCTCCCGTCCGTAAAGCCATATAGTTGTATCTCGTATCCAAGTAGAATCACCCATAAATCCTCGCTCCACAAGTTGTAGCAACCGAGTCGCATTCTCCTCTGTGTTGGGAGAAAGGAAAAGAGTACCATGATGACTACTTGACGCACTTTCGCGATAATCTTTTGTGCTGTCGCAGTGAATCACATCGCAGTATTGCCATAAGATGGGTAAAAAACGCTCGAATGCAGTAGAGATAGATGTTAACTCTTGTGGAGGACGATTACTCGTTGTAAACACAATTAATCCTTGTGGAAGTGCTCGAGAAAAAAAACCTGATAGTAATGCGGCGTGCGTAACGTCAAATGTTTGGAATTCATCAAGGCAAAGAATTGGAGACTCTTGTAAAACATCATTTACTACAAGATCAAGCGGAGAGGCGTTTGTTACTCGTGCTACCTCTTCCGCTACGTGAAGCCGCCAAACAATATCAGACATAAAAGAGTGAAGGTGCGATCGCCGCTTTGTAAAACCAGGTGTATCACAGAGTTCAAACAGATCCATTATAAGAGTTTTACCAATACCTACACTTCCCCACATATATATTCCAGTTTTCTTGTCAACACCCACGTTTTCCGGCCAGTTGATCGACACGTCTCGCGTCTTCCGATTGGGGAATGCGTAGCGCCGCACATTGAGGTGTAGACGCTTTACAGCATCTGTCACTGAACGAGCAGCAGAAGATAAAAATGGTGCATGTCCCTTCGTCACAAGTTCACCATTCACTGGGGAATTAATGTAGTTGAGAAGCGGTGTACACGCCTGAGCCATAGCCCGTTGCCCAGGATCATCCTTCAGAGCTCCTTTCTTCACAAGGACATTATACATTTCCGTCACTGTACGCCTACTTGAGACGTGCGCACGCCACATGTTGTGAATGCAGTGAGAGGGCTGCATGGCTTAAGGGGAAGCAACGAATAGTAACAGTTAAAAACAAGAGAGGAGAGAACCTAAAAAAAAAAAAAAACTGCAGGTGTGACTGTATGTGCAGACGTTGGTAAGAATGAGGAAGTAGAACAGCCAGAATAATAATAATAATAATAATAATAATAATAATAATAATAATAATATCAAAAAAAGAATTCACACCAAGAAGAATAGTGTAACCGTGCCTGGGGCGGTAAGTGACATCAAAGAAAGGCCCAAAAGCAAACAAAAAAAGAGATTCAACAACAAGAAGTGCAAGAATAAAGAATAATGTCATAACTGAGTGAAAAAAAAGGTCTCATACGCTTCTTTTTTTCTTTTATTATTATCATTACTATTATTGTTATTCATGCTCCTTCTATTGACTCCTGGCGAAGCTGCTCAAGAATTGCGAGAGACTCTTCAGATAGTTCTCCCCCGCTGATTGCACCCGTGATGTGGTGCAGACACTCCTGCAGACGATCAGCATCTGATTCTCTCTCCTTGACTAGTCGCGCTACCACACTTGCAACTGCTTTCCCTGGGATTTCAATGTAAACGTGAAACTGACTCTGAACAAGAAGACTGCAGAGAGACGAGAAAAGAGACGCGCTTCTTGTCACATCGTTGGTAAAAATTTCACTCTTAACCCGATCTACTAATGCCGCTTTTAACCCTGCAAGCGTCTCCCTCTCAGTTTTTTTATTTGGTGGATGAAAAGAAGAAACAGCAATTTTGCCAGTAGAGCACATTTCTTGCAAGAGAGTTGAAAAGTTTTCCACAGACTTTCCATTTACTGCCTCTACAATAGGCAAAAGTAACTGACGCTGAGTTTCCGGAAAAGTGCGTAATGCCTTCTGGAGCATGGCGATTGTTGGTTGTTGTTGTTGCTGTTGCTGATCCTTTTGCTCCACCGCGAAAATATCAGAAATACGCTCATACAGTTCAGGAACATCTAAGCTTTCATTCAACAAAATATCACGTACCATGGGTAAGGCGCGAGTTGTTAACAAGTGACGATTGATTGCAAGAGAAGCAGTTTCATCCAGTTGTGATGCAGCCCAAGAAACTCCCTTCGCAGCCACTACCATATCAACCCATGCTGCACCTAATGAAGTCTGAAGTTTCGATCGCATACGTTTGAGGTCTACTGATGCATTCTGATCAACAGCAGCTAATAGCTCCTCGTATATTTCCACAGCTAAGTCTTTCCATTGGGAACTGAGCTCCTCAAGAGCGTAACGGTACTGTTCTTCTGATAAACCTGTAACATCTGATATAACGCGCAAAAGTATTTGTTCTTGTTCCTCTCCAAATGCAATGCCGCTCTGTGGTTTTTTTCCTCCTTTTTTACCTCCTTTCTTGAGGGTCTCGGCAAAGGAAGAACGCAATCGCTCCTTCACAATGGACTGAGCTGATTCATGAATAAACACACCACCTTCTAGGACGATGCAGGAAAGAATAATTGGATGCAGTTCGCGTAACCGTTTCAGTAGGATGTCAAAATCCCGCTCCATATCGACCGCAAGCGGTAGGAGTGTGGCCAGGTCAAGCGAGACTGCATCACCCTGCACAAGGTCCTCAAATGCCACCAAATTGGCGAGAAGGCGGTCAGCAACAAAGCAGGCGGAGAGTGCGTGCCCAGCATTGGGATGACTTTCGCTTCGGGTCACTGGAGCCGAATCGTCATCATTATTGTTAGTATTATTCTTATTGTTTGTGGTGGTCTGATTTCTTCGTCCACGCCTCTTCTGCGGTTCTGCGGTTTGCTGTCGTGGGTTGGGGGTTGGATTATACCGTGCGAGAAGAAACTCCCTTGGTTGAGCGATGCCCTGTTGCTGCAGAGTGGCGTACTCGATGTATCCATTGGAGATGTAAACGTTCTCCACCTGCACTGCACGTTCGGCTTCGAAGTATGCTGGGACGTACACGTCGCCGTCAAGACGCCCCGGAAGTTCTTTGGCGACTGCCGCTGCAACGACATCTGCGAGGGGCGCGAAGAGATTGTGGGTGGCGACGACGGCGGGGATGCGGACGGGGCGGGTGGCCGCCATGAGGGCCGCCCGCAGGATGACTTTCTGCGCCCGCACGAACCGCGGGGTGTAGAGCGCCCCTCCCTCCAGTACGGCCCGCAGCCGGCCGGATCCCACCGCCCCCGTGAGGAGCCCGTGGGCAAAGACGGACGTGAACTGGTGGGTCTTGGCAAAGTCGGCAATGGAAAGAAATCCACGTTCCTCAAGCACCTCCGCCGCAGCACGAACCGTGGAGTCTAGATACTCATCCGTAATGAGTTCTCCGCTCTCCATGCGGATGGTGGGTTCCGCAAGAACCTCCGGAAGTACACGCTCAATAAAAGTAAAATGAACGTTTAAACTACTAGGAAGGTCAACAGCGTTCATGCGTCCACCACTAACAATAATCTCATCTACAACTTCACGTCGAAGTTGGTCCCAGGTAAGATATTCTTTACCATCAACAGTGTAGAGGAGATCAACTAGTTTCTTCTTTCGTAAAACGTTGATAATCTCAACAACGTTGCGTTCACCAATTTGGTTTGGGACTTCCTGTCTTTGGATAGCCTGAAACTTTTTAACTAACTCACTAAGCTCTTCGTTGTTCATTTCTTTTTCTTGCAATAATAACTACAAAGTACAAAAATGGTGAAGAATTACAGAAAAAAAAAAAAAAAAACATAAGGGATACAGTGATGGACACTTCCACCAAAACAAAACAAAACAAATAATAATAATAATATGCAAGACATGACCACTGACAGCAGTAATGGCACTGAGAACAAGCTCTTCACAACCCACTTCTTTAAAGCGTTGGAAAAAAAAAAAAAAATTGCGGTCACCCACAGAGACAAAAAAAAGATAATGAAAATATCAAAGAAAGATGTAAAAAAAAAGCTTGTGACCCCCCTCCCGACTCCACCACCACACCTCTGCATACTACAAAAATAGGTGTACGGTTGGGAAAAGGGAGGATATTACCCACTGCAAGATAGGACATGAGAACCTCTAGCAAACACTTGCCCTGTGATTTTGTCTTCAAAAGAATAATCCATGTATACTAAAGCACCGGCATCCTGATTAACGAGACGGGTCACACAATTACACTCGACGTTCTCTGCGACAGCAGCAAGGTAACTAATCTCGAAGCTGACAGACGATAATACCGATTCCGGAGCAGCAGCAGCCAAATGTAGCCGCGTAAAGATATCTGCGAGAGTTGCCAAAGCTCCTCCATGGGTGGACTTAAATCCATTTAAGACACCACGACGGGAAACCCAAGGGAAGCTTAGTACTCCATTTTTTCCCTCAGATATAGAATCAGGATGAAACTCCACCGTATTCATAATGCCACTGCTGTAACCATTTTTCATGCCTAACATCTTGGCAGCCTCCTTCTTTACCTGCGGGAGTATCACAGCTGCAACACGGCGACTCCCCTGCTGCATGTTTTTTTTTTTGTGTGTGTGTGTGTGTTACTTTTTTTTTTCTTTTATTTGTGTGTGGTTCTTGGTTTTTTTTTTTTTTTTGTTTCTCAAATAGTTGAATTGTATCGCTTTAAAAGAAGAGCACCCTCAACTGAAGAAAAAAAAAAGAACAATTGATGGAAATATCGGAGCAAATTCATCTCGCAGATAAACTTTTTTTTTTATATTACCAGGATATCTACACCCGTATATATATGTATATTTCCAAACAATAACTTACACGGAGAAGCAGTGTTTTTGCTTCTCCCCCCATTCCACATTCACCGTCATCATCATCATCATTATTTTCGTTGCCAATCATCATCAATCATCATGGTATCTTTCATGTTACACTTTGGCCCATGAAAAGGTAAGATCACCAACAACATCTTCGTGGGAGAGTGCAAAAGTCTGTGGGTCTTCCAGGTCCACAAAATGTTTTGCTCGTCTTAACGCACGTTGTCTTCCAGCTGGAATTACTTTGCTAGTGTTTTCCATAGCAGTGGAGTCGTTGAAAGGTAAAGAGTTTAAATTATACAGTTTTTGAGTAACCAGGTGATCTCCACAAGTGCGGTGATGCAACATCATAAGTCGCCTTGCCACCTGCTCACCACAGCGCCTACAGGGGTAAATAAAATCCCTCAAAAAACCCACTTCGTCCAATTCAGAATCTTCATCCTTGCTACGTTTTCTCTTCTTAGACGAAGTGTTTAAGTTACGCAAAATTTCAGCATATGAAGAGTAACCCCAGTAATTTGATCCATACGTACAAAGTACTTCTTCTCCTGGAAGAAGGTCACGGCTAGCGACGATGAATACACGTCCAGACAGCATCTCATACTCTCGCATTTCAACGTTGGCAGCAGTGGGTCCATTGTCGTTAATAAACGTTGCAAGTGAGAGATGTTCACCCTTTTCGTTCACACCATCTACGTAAATAGGAGCAGTGCGTAACTTCACAACATAGATACTCTGATCTATCTCTTTTGGGGGTCTATTTAGCACACGTCCTACATACTCACACACCACAGTCCCTTGCGGTAATGCTCTTGATGACCGCAAAAAAAGTCCCAAACCTGCATTTTCTCCTACCAGCGATTTGCGAACCTCAAAAAAACGGTGTTCAGCCTCTCTGGGAATGTATTGTACCAGCGTTTTTTCAGCAACACGCAGAAGTGTCATCCCGAGAGCTTGATACTCCTGCGTCACGAGAAGGTTTCGGCACACAACACGGTTCATGCCTCTTACCACAAAAGCATCATCACTCCACCTTTCTAGGATACCCTCGGCTAGCATCTTTAGACAAATTTCATTCATGTTTTCAGCGGACACTGCGCCCCCCAGTACATCTGAAAGACGCCTAGGGGTAAGAGGAACACGTGCCCGTCGCAGGATTTGCGTCACAATACGCTCCAAAACTTCGCATATCATGCACTACTGCTGGATAAAGAAAAGAAAAAAAAAAAAAAAACGGTAAAAACAATAGCAACAACAACAACAATAACAACAACAACAGCAGCAGCAGCAAGAAGAAAAAATAAAAGGATTTAGAATGGAATACTATCCCCACTATTAATAAATATAAATGACAATAATCACAATCACAATAACAGTAATCAGCACGGTACGAGAGAACTGATAAATATATAAATCTGTAGTTTTATTTATTATTATTATTATTATTATTATTATTATTATTATTATCTTTACTTCATAGGTCACATATTTTTTTTTTTCTTTGCTTATTAATTGCCATAATCTACTTTAGTCACTCTTTAAAATACCAAGCGTATCAACCACAACCACCATGGTTCCCGAGATCGAAAATAATATACCAAGAAAAAGAAAAGTCCAGCTAATACATCTATCAAACATTGATGTAAGATAAGTACCACTCCAGCGCATTTTAAATGCGAATATAGCTGGTAATGTCATTGATAGCGCTGAGCTAAACAATGCACCGAGGAGAGAAACCATTTTTGCCACATCTGGTAAAAAAATAGCACAAAGGGCTCCTGTCACCGCGAGTGAAGTTCCAATTCGTACACGGTACTTTTTCGGAACCTTTGAAGAAGAACCATCAGAGAGGAACATAAAAACTGCAAAACGACAAGGAAACATACAAAATACGAAAGAAATGGCCGCGCTATAACAACAAAATAACTGAGAAATAAACATAAGGTTATCCCGCTGCATATCATAAAGAGCCAATATATTTCCCTGTGACATATGAGGGAATGACATACTTCCAAATATACCCAGAGGGAAGTAAAATGAGGTTGCAATGGTAAGAGCCAAACAGATGCATACAAATATACGTTCACCTGTGCGATCATGAAGATCTTTTATAACACCCATAACATTTGATTGTACTTCGTAAGAAAATACAAATATAGGTGCTGCAAAAAGGTATGGCATCATCATTCTCAATAACGAGAAATTTCGAGTAGATTCATTAAGATGGGTACTTGTTTCTACCACATTATTACTTCCTTCTCGGGGTTCAAGAGGAATGAAAAACCGATACATAATAGAGAAAATAATAAAGCAAGTCAATATATTGCTGACAAATCCCATAGTACGAAGTGATGCAAGACGGGAATTGAATGTTAATGGTGTTATGCAGGCCACAAAGAGGAGAAATGTAACAATACCCGCTGTAGTACCTTGAAACCATGTTGGAAGAAAAGAACCTCTTGTAGCGACAACAGCCATTAAAATATCCTTGATGAAGCTTAAATAAACTACTCCAGCTCCAAAGTTATATGAAAACAAAACGAAACGTGTAAACCACCTTCCTTTTTCCCCAAGAAAAAATCCAGCTACTGATTCATAATCATCCGATGCGGCAGATGCTGATGCGTGTGCAAGGATACGCACGGAGAGAATAGTCATTGTGATGCAGAATGCGATACACGCAATCGCAAACTTGACACCTCCGACGGCGAATGCCATTGGGATTGCGAGCATGGACGGTGTGACGGCTGTGGCGAGCAGACTGAGACAACCGGAGCCGACGCCGTCGCCGGGACAGCAGCCCTCAAGCAGCGATCCCCGCATCTCCTGCACACTTGTTGTTGTGCGGGCATCGTAGTAGAAGATGGAGTCACCCAAGGGCCGCGACTCCGCCTCCGCCGCACCACGCGCGTTCATTAGGCGTGAGGGATCACAAGAATTCGCGTGACTGCAGAAAGATTGTGAAAATTAAAAGTGGAAGAAAAGAGGAAAAAAAAAAAGAGAGAGAGGGAAGAGAAAGGGAGGTGACGGGTGGGGTGGGGGTAGGGAGGGAAGGAAACAGTTAAGGGAGTACCCCACAATGTTAACGGTATTTTAGTACAATAGGGAAACAAAGCAACTATACTATCCTTCATAGACAAAGGATGTAAACACACACACACAAAAAAAAAAAAATGGTGTATACTATGGGTTTTATGCAAAGATTGCTTCACCATGCCGGATACCATTTCGTACCTTTTGAAACTGTTCAAAGTCAAGTTTGCCATCTTGTCCATATTTCTTTACAGCTACGGCTGCTACATTTTTCGGGAGTCCAAGTTCAACCACTATCTTCTCTAGTTCTTCCAGTTCCAGGTAACCGTTACCATTTTTGTCCCAGCGTTGAAAAAGTGCGTGATCTGCCTTGGCCTCATCACTGTCAAGGAACAACAACGGAAGCATCCCTAGTAACAAACCACTCATGATACCGAGTGTACCACCAATATGACCTGCAAAAAACACACGCCTTCCTTTCATCTGACTTTCAGTAAGAACAGGAGTCTTAAAGTTTAGTTTTCTAACCAACTTATCAATTACACCGTGAACTTGCATTCCTAAAACACCTGAAAATATGTTTCCCATTGCCGCACACGCCAATACAGAACAATTAAGATAGTATCCAACTGTATTATCAATTGCATCCCCTGCTAGAATCATTGCGGCATTGTCAAGAAATCCAAAACCCACAAATGGTAAACCAGCTACAAATGCTACCCAGACTAATGTAAGAAATGGCACTGGCACGTCCGTATCATTTGCGGTGGAATTTGAATGTTTTGTATGGTCATCACCGTACCTCCGCCGCAATGCGCTTTCAAACCAGTGGTCAAAATCTTTTGGAGATATCATAAGATCCTTGTCTACATCAGCCCGTTCGATCTCAGAAGCAGCACTCTCTTTACCAAACCACTCCATAGCCCCACCGGCAACTATTAACCGTCGTCTACTCTGTGCATCCATTTTTCCCACAACATCGATAAGAAGCTTCGGATCAGCCTCTAGCATCTTAACAAGTTGTTGGAGTTCTTCTTGATTAAGTGTCATATTCTTCTCACTCGATTGCAACCTCCTAGAAGATTGTATAGTTTCTGCAAAAACTGGCGGAACGAAACGAAGAAATCGCCTCATTTTTCTACGACTCGTTTCAGCCACCCAAAACTACACTTATGAGGGAGTAAAAGGGTTGCTACAGGGTATTAAAAATGAGGCACTTAAAGTCAATGAAGAAGAAGAAGAAGAAGAAGAAGTAGAAAAAAAAAAGTGAGAGGAAAGGCAAAAAAAAAAAATGATATATTATTCTCAAAAATAACAAGATGCAGAGAGGATTTAAAAACAGAAAAGAAAAGTATACATATAAGTATACTTGTATAGTGGTGGTAGTGGTAGTTTTGGAGTGTGTGTGTGTTTGTGTGCAGAGGGGATTAAGTTGTGGTATTAGTCGATTACACAAAGTGACATCACCTCATATTATTTCACAGGATTCTTTATAGCGACTGGATGACCCCAGACCGCGACGCCCACCTCAATACAGGCTGTTAGGTGTTCCACCGCTGTTGTGCTCCCGTCTGATTCGTACATTTTTAGTAATTCTTCTGAGAACACATCCGAAAAATGCTGCATGTAATCATCCCTCGCTCGTTGAATGGATGAACTATCAACAGATCCTGACATAGGCTACAACTCCTGCAATTCTCTAAATAAAAAGTAGAATAAGAAGAAGAAGAAAGTATTCCAAAAAGAAAAAAAGGATAAACAAATCCAGAAATAATTTACAGTTACATCATCAAACCAACCGGTGTAGACAACCCAACCATAACCACAACCCACAAGCAAAAAAGAAAAAAACTAACTTTTAGTTTCTCCTTTTTTTTTTTTTTACTTTCACGTTTCGACAACGACGACGCCCTTCAGAGAAATCGACTTCTCTAGACGGACTTTCAAAAAATTAAAAAACTTCAGACGACTTCGTTTTACTGAAGCACCATGCTTTGTCTGTTCAAGTTCCTTATTATGTTCTCCCCATTGCTGGAAAAGATCAAACATCATCCCAGCATAGGAGGACTTTACCTGCGCCGTGTGTCCAAGGGTGACATGTAAGGGAATTAACTCTGTTGAACTCAGTTGACTCACGTAGCTTTTTCCATTTATTGTAACGGTTACTCCAAAACACAAAGCGGAGCGATCCAGCAGGACATCGTCAAGTGTAACCTCAGCAACACTACCAGGTGTAGGATCAGATGAAGATGTCTCTGCACCTGTAGTGTCATAGAGAAGTGTAACATGGGGAGATAAAGACCTGCACTCAAAGCGTTCCTCAAGAGCTTGAGACCAAACCTCAGTTGGTAGAGGTTTACTAGTATCACAACCGTCAAGAAGCCATCCTCGAATCCAGCGTGTATGGCCTTCAACTTTCCCTGTAAGATGTATTGGAAAAAAACTGAGGGCCCGTTTACACTTTTCCCACCAGCTGAGAGTAGCAATTTCAGGTTCTGTAGCATTCCTAATAACTTCTGCTGCAATGTCAAGTAATTTATTAAAGGGAGTTTCAAGTCGCACAACCATAGTACTAGCCCTTTTGACTCGCTTATAAGATCTCATGAGAAGTGGTGAAGCATCCACGTCAAAAGGACCGATAAGTGAGTCAATAAATAACTTTCGATTATTCTTCAGATTATCTTCTAACTGTCGGTAATCATATATGGAGGCATGACGTTTCTGGTCGTTTTCATAGTACGACAAAATGTTCCGTGCCATTTCAGACACTAAAGAGTTTGATGTATCCAAATGCACACATGGTTCATTTTCCATAGGTTCTACAAAAGCTTTTTTTACTGCGTATAAAGCTGCTTGTGCCTCCGATACATCGTGAATTACATCATGATCTTGTCTCTCTGCAAGTCGTCGCATATGTTCAACGTGATCGCTACATGTAACATAAATTAAGCGAAAACTATCTACTTTTTTAGGCAACATATTACGCCACAGACGCCGAGTCTCTGATCTAGCATTACAAGCATCCATAATAAGTAAACCAGGTCCCTTCTGAAAAAGTGAGAATAAAATCACTCGGTTTATTGCTACAAGCATAGCATGATGCACCATGGATCTCAATTTTCTCTGCTTATGTTTGCTACAAGAGTTATCAATACCCTCTTGTGCTGCAACATCACTAGATATTTGATCCCGATTTAAATTTATGACGTACTGGAAGAGAGAGCAACCTCGCTCTGCCTCTTCAGTCAAAGCACGGGCCAGTGTTGACTTTCCTGATCCAGGAAGACCGCATAGCATTATAACATGAAGGGGTGTATACTGCTTTGCACAAGTTTCACATTCTGTGAATTCTAAAAGTTTTTCAAAGGCTTGTCCAATATTCATCACACTTCCGCGATGTCTTATACTGATTCGTTCCTTGACATAAGCTTCAAACTGTAAATAAATCTTGAAAATACCATGTTCTTCAACAGCACGACGAAAACATTTAAATCCACCAAGGTTTAATGACCAAGCTATGAGAACTTCGTGAAAAAGTTGTAGGGGTGCCGTAGAATCCCCTAACGCAATAGAACGTAAAGACCGTAACACACGGTATTTTACACTTTTTGCTTTTAAGCGAAGAGGAACAATAGTGAAAGGTCCCTCAATTGTTACCAATGGTGCAAGACGTGACGTAGGTATCTCCATAATAAGGACGTATCCTTCAGCAAGAGGTGTCCCATCTGGATCTTTTCCAACCCAACGCTCTCTTTCCCGCAACCAATTATGTAAATTATCCGTGCTCTCTACAGACCAACAAGGCACTACAGACAGACCCCAGGAAAGGACCATAGACTGCATTATCTCAAAGGGTATATTGATCTCCCGCAAATCATTTCGTTTGTGAACTGAGAAAACCAACAAATTATTATTGTATTTTTCTTCCTCCATCACGGGATGATGTGGATCATTCTCTGCAGAAATACACTCACAACTAACTGCAAGTTCCCTCAAAAATAATTCCGATGCCAAGTGTTTCTGTTGCTCAGTATTTAATAAATTATTTAACACACGACGTGCAACATCAACATGTGGTCCCTCCACAACATGCTTTGTTGAAACACCAACAGATTCACCATCAAGTGAAAAAAGCGTAACAGTAAAACCGGCCATTTTCCTTTGAAGCCATACACACCCTAATTTCCAGAATTCCTTATTATCTAGAATATCCATTTCGACATCTTCAATATCAAAAAACTTATTGACACCACGCACTACAACCTCATTAGCACTAACATTGAGGAGTAGTGTACGTGCCCCAGTAGGAAGATGCTTCACATCATCCTGATGAGACTCTTTCACAGAGAAGGAGGTAAATTCACCCGTCTGGAACAATTTTGCCCTCCCACTGTTGGCGTACTCGAGGACATTATCTACCTTTCCATCACTCCATTCCCTCCTGAAAAGAAATCTATCGAAAAGACCTTCCATTCAGGGTGAAATGGCTGAAAAGAAACTACAAATAAATAAATAAATAAATAAAGGTAGAAAGAAAAGAAAGAAATACTTGAGTCTGCCCATGATCTATCATCTTCCCCAAAGAAACCTCGCATAGATATGGCAACTAGGTGAAGAAGGAAAAAAAAAAAAATGATACAAAAGTCTATGCTCTGAATCACTTCACACAATAGTAGGTGGAACGATTTCCTCTGCCTTCAGCTGTATCAGGGTAGCAGTTTTTGCAGTATGTTCCACCTGAGAACGACTGCGATGGGTTTCTCGCTTCATGCGGTTCCCTGGACGTAAACTTTTTATGACCTTCATCACATCATCGCCGAGAATCTCTATTAAGTGCGGGGCAGAATCATCCTGAGAACCGCAATGAAGAAGAAGAACGACACTATCCAAGTGACCTGCGACAGCTGCAAACTGAAGTGGTGTAGCCTTTTGACCAAGGCCCAAAACAAACTTTTCACCACATTTCTTAATACCATAATGTCGACGATTGTACAATACATACCCTTTAGCGTTAATGGCGTCTCTATCGAGATCTTTAATAAAGTCATGAAGGACCTTCACAGATTTTGAGTAGGCTACAGTCCAAATATTTTTTGATGAAAAGACTCCTTCTTCGGAGTAGGAAGGTGTTACTAGTGTTTTCACATCAACGTCATTCCGCAATTCTTCTTCTTGAGAGGAACTCTGAAGGGGCTGCCTAGATGGATTCAAGTGCAGATACGTACTAGCAAGCTTAAGTTGCTCAGAGATATGTTCCAAATTGGTTCTTCTCACCACATCTGTACGTTCACATGTTCCATTCGAGTCAGCAACCTTCCTAGTTTTTCTCGGTGGAGGCACATGATCGTATCGCGCTCCACCAAACACGATATATGGGGGAGGAAGCTGCCGAGGCATTGTAAAAGTAATAGCTCCAAGAGAAACGCGATCTGGAGCAGCAAAAGCAATGGGAATTCCAACACTTCCAAAAGGAACTACACGTTGTTTTTGTTGTTGCGTGGGAAAAGGAGGGTAGACTAATGGTACACTAGAGCAGTTTTGCGAAACATCTACCTCTTCCGTAACTTTAACCACTCGTTCTTCTCCAGTTGAGGAGTCAACAGTCCCAACATTTGCTACTGGCAAGGACACAACTGCAGGAACAGGAACTGGTGCAGGAGCAGGAGCAGGAGCAGGAGCGGGAGTGACATAAGTTGATGGTTCCCTCGGCCAATGCGTGATAGAAGCGGTTGTGAGCGGGACAGGAGGTGGGAGCACTGGGACCACCCAACTGCTCATCGCTTCAACGGCAGCGCAAATAAATGAAAAGAAAAGGGAAAACAAAACGAAAAAAAAAGAAATAAAAAGAACATGGTTAATGGTAATTATGAATCAGGCAAAAAAAAAAAAAAAAACTGGAGTGTGGGAACCAAACTGTGTAAAAAAAATAAATAAAGCCAAACATCCTGCAACCCAAGAAAACACACACAGAGAACAACAACAACATCAATCATCCCTTCCGCCCCAACGACACAATGTGTTCGTATTCACTCTTCGTAACAGGCTGCACGCTCAGTCTCGTCCTTGTGAATAATAACATACTGGAAAGCTTCTTCTCCTCTTTTAACTGCTCTAGTGAAACTAGAGATGAAAATTTCTCCTCAAATTGGACATCAACCATCTCCCATGGATTTTTAGCCTCAGTGGCCTTGGCATCGTAGTACTCTGAAGTGGCGTCCAGAGCTGTATGATCAGGGTAGGCCTTTCTCACTACGGAGGCAAGACCCACAACACCTGGTGGCTTCGCGTTGCTGTGGTAAAACAAAACACGATCCCCAACGTTCATCAATTTCATGTAATTCCGCGCAGCATAATTGCGTACACCATCCCATGGTGATCGTCCACATTCTTTAAGATCATCGATAGAGAACTTGTTTGGCTCGGACTTCATCAACCAGTACTGCACGGCTTCCGATGATCTTACTCTCTTGCGACTCATTGTGAATTGCCTCACCACCTGTGAGTGAGCTGTCAGAGAAGAAAAAAAGAATAATAAAAGGAGAAAAACAAAGCAAATTTCAAAAGAAAAAAAAAGAAAAACAATAAAAGAACAATAAAAGGAGAAAGGGAGAAATGTACATTGAATAGGATAGAGTATACAAACAAGGAAAAAAACAGCAAAATGCATCCACACCACAGGCAGAATGTTCCGATTTTATCGATCCTCCAAGTTTTTTCTCCCTTCTTGCTTCCAAGATCAACAGAATTTTTTTTTTTTTTCTGCACAGTAATCAATGCATGATAGTGAAACAAATAAAAAAATAATATCTACGAACAATACAATTTACTGAGTTCTTCAGTTTCCATTGTAGGTACAAACTTCCGTTCTAAAGGTCGAGCAAAATGAATCGATGAAGAGGACTCAAGTGAAGATTTATCTCGCAATGCCTCAATACGACGAACACGTGAGTCTTCCTGTTGCATTAGAATATTTTTTTTTAACGATACAAGACATATATCCAAATCTTCTGTTGCTGCTGAAAGACCAATGTCGACATGAGCAATAAATTCTTGAAGAGAATTCAAACAACCGAGTGAATTTTGCGCTTCTTCACTGAGTGGAAGCATGATATCCCTCAGTTTGTGGTTAAATCGACGAATAGCGAGTGTAACACCAAAGTCTTGCTGCACATGTTCAACATCTTCTTGTGGCACATTACCAGATCCCCAAAGAAAACGTTGCACTAAGACTAGCGCTTTAAGTTTGCTTTTGGTCTCCCGCAAACGAACGCGGTCTTCTGAGATAGCCTGAGTGAGCTCCTGCAGATGATTCCCTCCACCACTACTAGATACAGCACTAGAAGAATAGACACGCTGTGTGGGATAAAATTGTGCCAATGCCCGAGTAACATTGGTACCGCTGTACTGATGTCTGTACTCTAGTTCCACTTCACATCGCTGGATTTCATGGGCTAAAGTGGCTGCAACCTTTCTCGTATCGCATACAGCCTCCCCTATTTTATCTGCCTCAACTGTTAGACCACCTACAATAAAACTCATGAACTCTACCAAGAACCCAAGAGGTTGGAGAGATTCATGTATGCTAATATCTACACCTCTCACAAGTGATCGAAGTTTTGCTTCTTTCCTCCCCAAAAAATTTATGAGACCGATAGAGGACAAATCTAGTGGTTCCCGGCGTGGGATTGTAGATTGTGTACCCAACAATGTACGCTGTATTTTCTTCACAGTGGTGTACTGCTCACTTGTCACACTTCCAATCATTGGGGAATGAGAAATACCAAACCAAGTGGCACAAAAGAAAAACAAAACAAAGATAAAGGGGGGGGGAGGGGGAAGGGGTACGCCGATGGGAGAAAAAAAGAACTGTGATTAAAGAGAATATATATATATATATGTACCTTCCCTCAAAAAAAGAAAAAAAAAAGAACAAAGAAAACGTGGAAAGAAAGAAAAAAAAAAAAAAAAA